AATAATAATAATAATAATAATAATAATAATATTATTTGAAATTTTTTTTTGAAAATTACCACTACCAAAAAAAGTTTGAAAACAAGTTGTGTAAAATCATTTCTTCAATACTGTGATGTACATACGAATGAAATGGATTATTGAAAAAGAAAAAATGTAGGGCGGAGACTTGGTTCTATGCATCGGTTGCTGTTGACATGTGGGTGTGGCACTCAGGAAGGGGCGGAGTTTAAGCGGACTAAATAATTGGAGCATCCTGCATACATCACCAGAGAGAAGTCTGACGTTTCACTGGAAGATCCAGTGAAACATTAAAAGGTAAAAAATGCACGGATGAATCTTTCGCGATAAGACCAATGCATAATCACCAAACAATATGACTTCAGAAGACTTGTAGTGCACTAGTCATATGGACTGCAGTTTTAGTGTTTTATTTATTTTTTTGAAGCTTGACAGACTCACTATGAACTGTAATTGTGAGGTGAGTAAATAATGACCGAGTATAAATTTTTGGCTGAACTATTCCTTTGAAGCTAATGAATGAATGATAATGCTGTATAAGTGTGTGTGCATGTGCGTGCAATGGCATATTTCAGGTTGCATTAAAGACCGAGAGGGATATAATCATACATGACTTATTGCTGGATGGACAGGATTTACCGGAACTCGAATGTAAAAGATAATAATAAGTAAACTCTCTTAAAGCTACACCAAATACAAACTAAATGACCAAAGACAAGTGGCAACCAATGACAGAGACAACCTGAACAGCTCCGATCCCACGAGAGCACGGGACGGGTCACCACGAAATGACACGAGGAGCAACGTTCCTGTTCGGATATTAATGTGGAATGCTGCTACTGGGAAATGTAACGGAGAACCAAAGTCTTATACCAGCTTATTAAAGGAAAAACATTACAAAACTTTTTCTAAATATAAATATACAAATATATATATAAAGATTAATGCTGACTAAGTGATATTACTTTGACTGTTACTATCATTGTTGTTACTATAAAAGGATTCCACTTATTTATTTTATCTCTGTGTACGGCAAAAACCTTTCCAAAGCCAGTAAACTCTACAGAAACGTGTCTGTGTTTCAAAACATATATGTTGTGTGAGTCGTCATTATCATCAAACTGCATACAAACAAAGATATGGTCAGGAATTCATTTTAAATGTAAAAAGCCATATCTACAGACCAAAATATACTGCATTACAATGTGCTAAATGCAATGCCCCGGCAACCACCCACAACATTCCAGCAACCACATAGCAACTCCCTGGTAACCACTCAGAACATTCTAGCAACCTCACAGCAATGTAGAAAACTTTAGCCACCAAATAGCAACTCCCTGGTAACCACTCTGAACATTCTAACAACCTCAAAGCAATGTAGTAAACTTTAGCAACCACATAGCAACTCCCTGGTAACCACTCAGAACATTCTAACAACCTCAAAGCAATGTGGAAAATTTTAGCAACCACATAGCAACTTCCTGGTAATCACTCAGAACATTCTAACAACCTCAAAGCAATGTGGAAAATTTTAGCAACCACATAGCAACTTCCTGGTAATCACTCAGAACATTCTAACAACCTCAAAGCAATGTGGAAAATTTTAGCAACCACATAGCAACTTCCTGGTAATCACTCAGAACATTCTAACAACCTCAAAGCAATGTGGAAAATTTTAGCAACCACATAGCAACTTCCTGGTAATCACTCAGAACATTCTAACAACCTCAAAGCAATGTGGAAAATTTTAGCAACCACATAGCAACTTCCTGGTAATCACTCAGAACATTCTAACAACCTCAAAGCAATGTAGAAAACTTTAGCAACCACATAGCAACACCCTGTCATCCACTCAGAACATTAACATTCTAACAACCTCAAAGCAATGTAGAAAACTTTAGCAACCACATAGCAACACCGTGTCAACCACTCAGAACATTCTAACAACCACAAAGCAATGTAGAAAACTTTAGCAACCACATAGCAACACCCTGTCAACCACTCAGAACATTCTAACAACCTCAAAGCAATGTAGAAAACTTTAGCAACCACATATCAACTCCCTGGTAACCACTCAGAACATTCTAACAACCTCAAAGCAATGTAGAAAACTTTAGAAACCACATAGCAACACCGCGGTTGCCACTCAGAACATTCTAACAACCTCAAAGCAATATAGAAAACTTTAGCAACCACTTTGCAACGACTTGGCATCCACACAAAACATTCTAGCAACCTCAATGCAACGTGGAAAACTTTAGCAACACCCTGGCAACCATTCACAACATTCTAACAACCTCAAAGCAATGTAGAAAACTTTAGCAACCACATAGCAACGTCCTGGCAACCACTAAGAACACCCTGCATTGTAACAGAGTTTTTGCACAGGCAAACACAAGTCAAACTTCAAACAGGTCAAACAAGTGCATTTTAGATTTTTTGAATAAATAAATAAATGTATTAATAGTGTAGCTTCTATTGTAGTGTTTAGACATGATCTATTACAGTAATAACAATTAGTGTTTTATGGTAAATATAAAGAAAATAAATTGCAAAAATGTCAATAATAATAACACACAACTCACACACACACACACACACACATATGCAC